GATTTGTCTCAATCGCTTCAATTCATACCGTCATTATTGTTTTTATTAAAAAATTATTAATAATGTTACACAGAACAAATTTTTAGATAAAATTTGGAGTTCAAATGACATGGCAGCTGATTTGATTTTTTTTATTTAGTGTCATGTCATTTGAGATTCAATAAAAACTACAAATAATATATTTTCATGTTATTTGAGCTCCAAATTTAACTCCAAAATTTAATCAACGTAGCATTACTAAAAATCTATTATTTGGATCTCCTAGAAAAACCCCAAGTAGTAGTAGGATCTTGTGCAATCGCTGCACCTATAAAAGTGTCGAGTTGATAACTAGGACTTCAAGAGCTCAAATTAAATTTTAGTCGACACAAATAATACAGGCTATGTTAAGTTTGTACCCAACTTATACCTCCCAATGACCTCGATAAATGGGAATCAAGGTGAATAATGTGACCTTCCTTGAAATCGCAAGTCCTAAATTACCAGTACACAACTTGTGTAGTGCTATGCAGTGGTGAAAATTGTTTAAATCTCCTTCCTCAGCTCTCTACTGCACTAAACAAAGTCTTTGACATTTTAAAATAGAAAGAATGGTAGATGGTCCCTCTCTCTATCCTCTCTCTATATATAAAGGTTTATGCACCTAGACTTACATCCTCTCATAATCACTCTTAATTAAGCAGGCATTTGTGATCCTTCTATTTCTTTCTCTCACTGTAAGTTCAGTTTAAGACAAGAAAAAAAGATGAAGCTTGTGTTTGCCACTTTGCTACTTGTCACACTCCTTCTGGGCTCCACTTTCATGCCTGTCACCATGGCTGATTCAGGTAAGAGTCAAAACCTATGCTGTTTTTACCACCCAAATCCATATTGTACAATACTATCAATTTTAGGCTAGGCCACTCAAGAGATGTGGGTCAGTGTGCATGGACTTGGCACTATCAACTCGCCCTATATACTTTAAAGCAAACAATATTGTACGATGCGGGTTCAAGAACTTTTTAAATTTTTAGATTGTTTTATTTCTTACAATGGGTTTTTGTGGTTCTCTTGTGTATACCCTGGTCAGACTTCTGTAAACACAAGTGCAAATTTAGGTGCTCTGAAGCTAAAAAGAAGCCGCATTGCTTGAAGGACTGCCATCTCTGCTGCAAGGATTGCCACTGTGTGCCTTCGGGGACATATGGGAACAAAGATGAGTGCCCATGCTACAGAGACAAAAAGAACGAAAGGGGCAAGCCAAAGTGCCCTTAAATGAAGCCCATGCCTGCATACATGTAGATCTAGATTTTGTTCAATACCCATTTTCTTAAACTCTTCTTAGCGGTAGGTCCTCACTGTGTTTCATTTAGAGATGCACTTTTGCATCTTACTTGAATCCATCGTGAGTGATTTATCATCAAGGAAAGTTAAGAAAAGATCTACTGAACAGGAACTCGGTCCCGTACATGTGTGTTTGTGGGTGCCAATCTCACTTTCTTTTTTTAGTCGTTTCTATTTGTAGTGGAGAGGTATAGTTCACAAATAAAGGTAGGATTCAGAGGCTACAAAAGTTGAAATAAGTGGAAAGTCCTCATGTTTTTAGTTGTGTTGTAGTGTCTGATCATAGTGAACTATACCTCTTTGTTTGAAAAGCATTGCCTCTTTGTTTGCTATTTCTATTGGGAGTTAAAGTTTCATTACGCTGTAGCAATTGATATCAATGTACAAGTAAAGGATAACCTCTCTCCAATCAAAAGTAAATCATAGCCACATTAGGCTGTTTTAATTTTAAATCTGTGAGGGGTGCTCTAGTAGTAATGAGAGTACCCAACACAGATTTGCCAACCTCCTGCATTGCATTACCATAAGAAAAAGCAAAATTCATAAAAAAAAAAACGAAGGGAATGCTCTTGTGACTCAGAACAATTATTAAATATCTCCTAATATTTAATAATCAATTACCGTAAAAACTGGATATTGTTTTTTTTTATGAAGAGTTCATTAACTTATAAAGTCGGATATCGCTTTTTTAGAGATGGCATCCCACCTCTAATGGTTGCCAAATTAGGCTTTGTGTGGGTGAATATGTGCAAGGAGATTGCGGCCAGCTACATCTATCTAACATAAAACCACACTTTCCCTCTCTCAAAACAATGTTCGTACTGGTCAAAAGCAATTAGCATACTCCATATATATCCCAAGTGAATGGGTTGAAACACCCATAATTCTAGTCTNTAAAAAAAAAACGGAAGGGAATGCTCTTGTGACTCAGAACAATTATTAAATATCTCCTAATATTTAATAATCAATTACCGTAAAAACTGGATATTGTTTTTTTTTATGAAGAGTTCATTAACTTATAAAGTCGGATATCGCTTTTTTAGAGATGGCATCCCACCTCTAATGGTTGCCAAATTAGGCTTTGTGTGGGTGAATATGTGCAAGGAGATTGCGGCCAGCTACATCTATCTAACATAAAACCACACTTTCCCTCTCTCAAAACAATGTTCGTACTGGTCAAAAGCAATTAGCATACTCCATATATATCCCAAGTGAATGGGTTGAAACACCCATAATTCTAGTCTATGGGGGTTTTTGGGATAGGAATAGATAGAATTCACTTTATATCTAATATAAATCCAATCTAATCCAATTTCTTTGAATTTCTTAACTCTCTTTTCACATAAATTTAACTCTTACATACGTTGCTTTCTAGGGCTCGTTTAAGTGAAGTAGACCGTACAAAGACACTCAAATAATAGTGAGCATGTGATTCAGTTCCTCTACATAATATGCATTGNAAATCCAATCTAATCCAATTTCTTTGAATTTCTTAACTCTCTTTTCACATAAATTTAACTCTTACATACGTTGCTTTCTAGGGCTCGTTTAAGTGAAGTAGACAGTACAAAGACACTCAAATAATAGTGAGCATGTGATTCAGTTCCTCTACATAATATGCATTCGTCATGAAAAAATTTAAACGTGGTCAAAAAATTAAGTTTTCAATGACAAAAAAAAGCAGCTTGCAGCGATGAATTTAATTTTAAACCTGGCAAAAAAATTTAGATTTTCAGTGACAAAAAACGTGTAACATCATTAAAAAATTTAGCTTTAGCGATGAATTTTTTTATTTCAACAACAAATTTTTTTTCGTCACTATAATGAACTTTAGGTGACACAATAAATTTGATTGTTAAAAGTTTCGCCCTTAATACCCCAATTTGTTGTAGTGTACCATGATATAGTCGGTGATACATTTCATAGTCTCCCAGGCAAATTTAGTATAGAGTTTTCAATTAGCAATTGGAAGGTAGAATAGAACTTGAGATTTCTACCAATTATGGAGAGAAAACATTAGGCCATGTTCACTGCTTGTTGACAATGATGCTGCTGACTTTTGCCTCTTTAGACAACCCAAGAGTATTGAATTCTTGACTCCATTTTAGTAGTAGAGGTCCCCTAGGGCTCCACTTATCAATNTATAGAGTTTTCAATTAGCAATTGGAAGGTAGAATAGAACTTGAGATTTCTACCAATAATGGAGAGAAAACATTAGGCCATGTTCACTGCTTGTTGACAATGATGCTGCTGACTTTTGCCTCCTTAGACAACCCAAGAGTATTGAATTCCTGACTCCATTTTAGTAGTAGAGGTCCCCTAGGGCTCCACTTATCAACCGTTAAGCCCTTTTGCTCCCTCAATTTTATTCTGATTAGAAAGATATTATTAAAGNAAAACGATGCTAGTTCATACACAAAATGGCGTCCTTTTCATATGCAAAATGACGTTGTTTTGAGGAACAATACTCCTATTGTATAGCAGACGATCTATTCCTAAAATCCAAGGTGTCATCTAAGTAGTAGAATAATGCTATACAACCTAACTGAAACTTATAAAATTACAATTCAAATGCATATCATTCTTTTGATGAGTGAGACTCATTAATTTTTTTTAGTGAGACTTACTCATTCAATACTCATCTAATGAATGCAAAGTTTCATTTGAGTTGTATATTATTTTTCTATTGCCAAATAATTTTATGCATGAGATATTGTTCTACAAGTTGGGTTGATGAATAACTAAGTGCTCGTGCTTTCAAGTACTGGGAGGACTCTGACATGAACTCGTAATATTCAAATTACAATAAAATAAAATTTTAATTAAAAGATGGGAAAAAACATAGAATAAAATAGCTAAAAATGGCAACAAAAGAGAGCCCAATAATGTTACTTGTACTATATCAACTATAATAATGCCACACTCATGTATTGATTTGTCTCAATCGCTTCAATTCATACCGTCATTATTGTTTTTATTAAAAATTTATTAATAATGTTACACAAAACAAATTTTTAGATAAAATTTAGAGTTCAAATGACATGACAGCTGACTTGATTTTTTTTATTTAGTGTCATGCCATTTGGGACTCAATAAAAACTACAAATAATATATTGTCATGTTATTTGAGCTCCAAATTTAGCCCCAAAATTTAATCAACGTAGCATTACTAAAAATCTATTATTTGGATCTCCTAGAAAAACCCCAAGTAGTAGTAGGATCTTGTGCAATCACTGCACCTATAAAAGTGTCGAGTTGATAACTAGGACTTCAAGAGCTCAAATTAAATTTTAGTCGACACAAATAATACAGGCTATGTTAAGTTTGTACCCAACTTATACCTCCCAATGACCTCGATAAATGGGAATCAAGGTGAATAATGTGACCTTCCTTGAAATCGCAAGTCCTAAATTACCAGTACACAACTTGTGTAGTGCTATGCAGTGGTGAAAATTGTTTAAATCTCCTTCCTCAGCTCTCTACTGCACTAAACAAAGTCTTTGACATTTTAAAATAGAAAGAATGGTAGATGGTCCCTCTCTCTATCCTCTCTCTATATATAAAGGTTTATGCACCTAGACTTACATCCTCTCATAATCACTCTTAATTAAGCAGGCATTTGTGATCCTTCTATTTCTTTCTCTCACTGTAAGTTCAGTTTAAGACAAGAAAAAAAGATGAAGCTTGTGTTTGCCACTTTGCTACTTGTCACACTCCTTCTGGGCTCCACTTTCATGCCTGTCACCATGGCTGATTCAGGTAAGAGTCAAAACCTATGCTGTTTTTACCACCCAAATCCATATTGTACAATACTATCAATTTTAGGCTAGGCCACTCAAGAGATGTGGGTCAGTGTGCATGGACTTGGCACTATCAACTCGCCCTATATACTTTAAAGCAAACAATATTGTACGATGCGGGTTCAAGAACTTTTTTAATTTTTAGATTGTTTTATTTCTTACAATGGGTTTTTGTGGTTCTCTTGTGTATACCCTGGTCAGACTTCTGTAAACACAAGTGCAAATTTAGGTGCTCTGAAGCTAAAAAGAAGCCGCATTGCTTGAAGGACTGCCATCTCTGCTGCAAGGATTGCCACTGTGTGCCTTCGGGGACATATGGGAACAAAGATGAGTGCCCATGCTACAGAGACAAAAAGAACGAAAGGGGCAAGCCAAAGTGCCCTTAAATGAAGCCCATGCCTGCATACATGTAGATCTAGATTTTGTTCAATACCCATTTTCTTAAACTCTTCTTAGCGGTAGGTCCTCACTGTGTTTCATTTAGAGATGCACTTTTGCATCTTACTTGAATCCATCGTGAGTGATTTATCATCAAGGAAAGTTAAGAAAAGATCTACTGAACAGGAACTCGGTCCCGTACATGTGTGTTTGTGGGTGCCAATCTCACTTTCTTTTTTTAGTCGTTTCTATTTGTAGTGGAGAGGTATAGTTCACAAATAAAGGTAGGATTCAGAGGCTACTAAAGTTGAAATAAGTGGAAAGTCCTCATGTTTTTAGTTGTGTTGTAGTGTCTGATCATAGTGAACTATACCTCTTTGTTTGAAAAGCATTGCCTCTTTGTTTGCTATTTCTATTGGGAGTTAAAGTTTCATTACGCTGTAGCAATTGATATCAATGTACAAGTAAAGGATAACCTCTCTCCAATCAAAAGTAAATCATAGCCACATTAGGCTGTTTTAATTTTAAATCTGTGAGGGGTGCTCTAGTAGTAATGAGAGTACCCAACACAGATTTGCCAACCTCCTGCATTGCATTACCATAAGAAAAAGCAAAATTCATAAAAAAAAAAACGGAAGGGAATGCTCTTGTGACTCAGAACAATTATTAAATATCTCCTAATATTTAATAATCAATTACCGTAAAAACTGGATATTGTTTTTTTTTATGAAGAGTTCATTAACTTATAAAGTCGGATATCGCTTTTTTAGAGATGGCATCCCACCTCTAATGGTTGCCAAATTAGGCTTTGTGTGGGTGAATATGTGCAAGGAGATTGCGGCCAGCTACATCTATCTAACATAAAACCACACTTTCCCTCTCTCAAAACAATGTTCGTACTGGTCAAAAGCAATTAGCATACTCCATATATATCCCAAGTGAATGGGTTGAAACACCCATAATTCTAGTCTATGGGGGTTTTTGGGATAGGAATAGATAGAATTCACTTTATATCTAGTATAAATCCAATCTAATCCAATTTCTTTGAATTTCTTAACTCTCTTTTCACATAAATTTAACTCTTACATACGTTGCTTTCTAGGGCTCGTTTAAGTGAAGTAGACAGTACAAAGACACTCAAATAATAGTGAGCATGTGATTCAGTTCCTCTACATAATATGCATTCGTCATGAAAAAATTTAAACGTGGTCAAAAAATTAAGTTTTCAATGACAAAAAAAAGCAGCTTGCAGCGATGAATTTAATTTTAAACCTGGCAAAAAAATTTAGATTTTCGGTGACAAAAAACGTGTAACATCATTAAAAATCATGCTTTAGCGATGAATTTTTTTATTTCAACAACAAATTTTTTTTCGTCACTATAATGAACTTTAGGTGACAAAATAAATTTGATTGTTAAAAGTTTCGCCCTTAATACCCCAATTTGTTGTAGTGTACCATGATATAGTCGGTGATACATTTCATAGTCTCCCAGGCAAATTTAGTATAGAGTTTTCAATTAGCAATTGGAAGGTAGAATAGAACTTGAGATTTCTACCAATTATGGAGAGAAAACATTAGGCCATGTTCACTGCTTGTTGACAATGATGCTGCTGACTTTTGCCTCTTTAGACAACCCAAGAGTATTGAATTCTTGACTCCATTTTAGTAGTAGAGGTCCCCTAGGGCTCCACTTATCAATCGTTAAGCCCTTTTGCTCCCTCAATTTTATTCTGATTAGAAAGATATTATTAAAGGCGTGAATTTTTTGGATTAGAAATGATATATATTTTAATGGACTCATATGCACTATGAAAAATAAAATTACAATTGAATTGGATTCGCATCACATTATTCAAAGCGAATTTGGATCGAATTTATATTACTTGGAAATAAGATAATCAAAAGTCAAAAAATGAATTTATTAATTGAATTAATGCGACTAATAAAAAATTTAAAAATTCCTAGGCATTATAAAAATTTTGAAGGATAAATAAGAAAATCAAAAATTTTTCTCTTAAGCCACTTTAAAAAGGATAAAGTAGACATTATAGTATTATTTAAGGATAAATAAGAAAATTTAAAAAATTTCACTTAAGCCACTTTTATTAACAGTAAGATATAGATGTATGTTTCATTTCTTAGTTGAATATTTGCCTCTTCAAATGGTTTCTGAGTTGTTACCATTGCACTCACTAATTCCTTAACTTCCACATAAAAACTTTTATGTATGGAATAAACAAGATGACATGATTTGGCTCAAAAGCCCATATTCGTAGTTGAAACGCAATAGCTGAAGTCTACTACAAAATAATGAAGATTAAAAAGGATTATCCAAGAGGAGAACAACTACTCCATTCTAACATAAATTTGCAATACCAATAAAAAATATGAATTTAAAATATATAATTTATATGGATCAAAAACCTTTGTTTTCTAATTAGACCATGTTTCCTAAATAACCCTAATTTCTTAAGTAGATCAGATTTTAAGAAATGGGTTAATTGAAAAAGAGTAGACCTTCAAGGAACGAGTAAATCGTAGATAAAAAGACGGTAAGTACGAATCCAACCATAAATATCAAACGATCGCTAAACAAGGTATTGTTTGATAAAGCTTTTTTTAAAGTTTGTTTATTTTTTTTCTTGTTAGAGTTTGCTTTGCTCTCTTCTTCTATACTTAATTGTCTGTGTTGTAGTTCATATATGCCTTATGTATATGTATAGTTTTATACACTAAGATTTATATTGATTGCATTTTCAAAATAGTTATTAAATATATATTTACTTTATATTTGTTGATAAAGTTACTTTTTTACTTGCAAAATATCTTTAGAAAAGTGTTACCAAAAGTGACATTGTACTGCATGCTTCTGGTATATCGTTTTAAAGAAGTACTTCTAGTAAATAATGGTGGTTCACTCCTTTTATGTCATGTGGTTGAAGAAGGAGAAATAGCACTTTCGTGTTTGCAAAATGTACTAAACTATACATTGGGTTGTTATTTATCATAACCGAACGAGAATTATTGACAACCAAATTTAGAAGTAAAAAAATTGCCCTAAAATGATATGGAAAGTGTAGCAGTTTCTCGAAATACGAAGTTAGTAGGAGTATGTACTTTATTTGGGCATATTCCTAGGTATAGTATTATTGTATCAATGAGGAAGAATGATTTGATATTTATTAGTTATAATTTAAGAGAAGATAATTAATGCTGAATGAGAAAGTAAAAAAATATAACTAATTATGTGACCAGGGAAGAAAATATATGGAGACCACCCCCTCCTATTTTTAAAATTACCTATACCCCTTTTAAGTATTTGAAAATCCTATGTCTATAGTAAACATATTTTTTTAGTTTATTCAAAGACCTTAGTGACCTAACTTTGATAACCAAAAGGAAGATATTAATTGAACGACTACTTTTTTTATCGATGAAGAAGAGTACTTAGATGAACTTGATGACCAAAAGAAGAAAAAAAGAAATGAAAGGTGCTACAAAATTAGATTAGAAACCTGACTAATATCATTAATAATGTACACTACTCATAACTAATTTTTATAATGATATTGAGTGAAATTAGTATTTGTGACGTTATATATATGCAATTATTATATTATGTCATAAGCGAAGAAAAAAATAAATCGTAATATTATCTCAAATTAACCGCCACATAACAAGTACAGATTAATTTTAAATTTTATGACCTAAACTTACCATATAAAATTGATTGGATTGGCTGTATACAATTAAAATGTGGCATTAATAGTAAAAATTTGCTGAGTGATACCGTTTAAATAAATTTTAAACACTACACTTTTTTTGATTGGGTCTTATTGTTCCCCTCGTGACAAAATCCAGATCCTATGCATGTAACTATTGGTATAGCACAATAGCAAAGTAAAATTCAAATAACCATCTCGGCTAATTGGAATAAGACTTTATTAAATATAAAAATAGTCGTTTATTTAGGAACCTCGGAAGGGCTGCCGGAGGAAAAAAACTGCTTTCCCATCAGCTCGAAGGAAGTATTCAATACAAATGTTTTAAATTTAAATTTTGACAATTTTTTGGAGTCACGTTACGAGAGATTTATCTCTTTTGAATATCCTGCATGCGTGAATAACTTATCTTTAGATCGAAAAATAGATTAATCGAGATCGCCAAACACTCTTGACCGTACTATACCAAGTCTCTCTTTCTCTTTCTCTCTCAGCTGAAGGAACTTTCAGTGTAAGCTCGTTGTGGTCTGACCAAAACAAGTTACATTCATGCATGTTCCGAGTTTCAAAATATGCACTCAGAGACAGCCTATGAGTTGAGCATGCAGCATTAATGCATATAAACATGCATGACGAAGAAAGGCATTACCCGAAACAAATCAGGAAGCAGCAATCCACCTTCTATTCAGGGACATACATATTGAGGGCAGACTTGATTATGAAATAGAACAATTAGAATTGATATTTTATAAAAGAATTAGTTATTGTCTGTGTCTGAAGACACAGAATAATAAAAAATGATAAATAATAAACATATTTGTATTCATATCCAAAATCAAATCACAAATATAAATGAGAGATAAATGAATTTAAACATTAGTTGTAGTAGGGGTGAGAGGTGGTGGTAGGAAATGACGATGATTGTGGTGGATGACAATGACCGTGGTGGCGGTAGTGGTGGTAGCGGTGGTGGAGAGGAGGCAGCGACGACGATAGGGCCGCTGCGGCGGCGGCGGTGGTAGTTTTAAACACTATTTTTAAAAAAAATATTTATGAGAAATAATTTTTAAAAGTACTTTTAAAAAAGTCACTTCAAACACACCTTTAGGGGCTTTTTTTCATATTAAATTTAGGATGTTAATATTAGCCGTTAGGTTAACTTTAAAGTAAAATTTAAAGCGATCTCAATCGCAAATAACAAAAGTCATTTTGTTTATCTTTTGATATTTGAATTATAAGTTACTTACCAATGAGCCTTTAGTCCAGTGGTACTCCTTGTCTTAT